TACCTCACCAAATATCTTCATTTGAGGGAGTGAAGTATCTTGAGGAGAGTTCAACTTTCGAAGGTGGCATAACACAATCAACAGATTCGAGACACAGTGGGAAAAAATATCAGCATAGACAGAGAAATCCACAAGAAAGAACTGGACTACACAGGGACTAAAGGCTTGAAAAGTTGCAGACATTACAGACTACAAAAACAAGAGAGAAAATAAAATAACACTCTTAGATTTATGTTACTGAAGAAAGGAAAATAAAAAAGAATTTCGGACTGCTATGCTGACATTAATTAAGGTTTACAGCATCCCTAAGAGCTTTGGCAGACTTGGTCCCACTTTTATAGGAAGAAAACGATATATTGAGAGATAAAACAGCATTTTAAGAGTGCAAAGACAGGGTCCTGTTTCGAGGTCAGCATGAGACGTGACTTTGGTCAGTTCCTAGTTTGCATCATAAAAGCAGGATCCGGATTATAGCAATTTCATGCAGTTATAAATGCAATTCCACTACTTCCTCTCCTCTTCTTTAATCACAGAGGCTATCTTGTTTCTGTTCAGAGCACAGCACCTCTAGACACTTCAGCAGGGTCAAAACCACTTCATTCTTCACAGAAAATTGTATGCTGCTGGTGGCCACATTCTCATTAGTTTTAAATGAAGATTAAAACCAGGGGAGTCAGGCTGACACAGAACCAGTGCAGTGAGATCAGCATGATGCAATTTGTCTCTGAGGTAAAATTAGTCAGTTCAGCCATTCACAGAAAATCATTAAGACTATAAATAAGACTCCAAAGACCAATAAAAGAAGCATGGGGGAAGAGAAAGATAATTCCATATTTACAACGTCTATATATGCATACACATTTATGATCATGGTTTTGGGATTAGGTAAATAATAAGCATCAATTTTGCCAGGTACCATTTAGTGCTTGTAGTTGGACTTGTCTGTAGACCTCACAGGAGAAATAGGTCTTGGCAAAGCAGTTAGAGAGGAAAAAGAACAGTAGGTTTACAAGTCTTTAAAAACATTATGCATTATTATAGGTACTGAGACTAATCAAGTTCTGCAATAGTCATCAGTTTCAGTGGAGAGACCTGTTTGCTAGAGTTAAGTTTGTCCCAGCAGCAAGATTTATGTGAAACTACAGTGTAACAGGTTATAGGACAAGCACTGTTCATTCACACACACTGGTCTTCAGGGTCATCCTAGACTGCAACCAACGTGTGCTCTGTCTGCAGCCAACTGCAAACACTTCTAATAACCTCAGTTATTACTGTAATTCAGGTGACAGCTGTAGGATCCCTTTTCAAATGGTACCATCACACGCCTAAACACACGTTCTCTAAATTGGGTGCCAGCACTGTTTTTGCATAGAGTACTACCAAATTCTCCCTGGGGGATGAACTGCTATACCAGTATAAACAACATGTGTCTACAAAGTGAAGTTTTGGAGAACAGAAAAGCCTGGATGCAAAATTTTGTCAACACATAAGTGCCACTCTTGAGCACTTGTCCTTAAGCATGTAACAGATCTACCACTCACAAGCATTATTCACCTGCCAGGAAGCATGTGGGACCCCTCTCAACTTTAGAAATGGTTTGCATACCAAAACCAGATGTCCACAATATTTCACCCAAAACAACAAACCTCCTGCCCCTGGAGAGAAAAGGCTGTTTACTCTATTATACCAACATTTAGTATTGCAACACTCAACATACACGTTAATACATAAACTACATTGTTCCAACCATATCCTTCTCATTCCTCACTATTCCCTCTGTTGCTATCAGCTTGCTTAATTTATTGTAAGATATAAAATCCTTATTATCATTAGTTATGTTTTAGGTACCGTAAACATTTGTAAAGCTAAGCAATAGGAGGAAAATATTATTGTGATATTATTAAAACAAGAACAGGGTGAAACAAACCCGTGATAATTATGAAAGATACTGGGGTATGTTTGCACTACTTGGGTGTATTTTTAGGACATGGTCTGTCTTAGTGACAGAACATACAAGAGAGAAGGAATTTCTGCGTGTTACACTGAATTCTTTTATTGATTTTCTAAATATTCTGGACTAAAGTCTGTCTTGCAGTGTTTCTTATAATGCAGAGAAAATATTTTTCCATCCCATGGGCGTACTGTGAGAATTACTCATCTGGCACATAGATAATTCCCAGCAAATAAAAATGCCTCCAGTCATAGTTGGTGTTACCTGTTCCTCACAGCTTCTGTGGCACAACAGCTGACTACAGCCCAGTGGGCATCCCCCCAGTTGTTGTGGGGATGCCTACATATTTCTGGACAGGCTATTAAATGAGGACAGAACAAATAATTTGTGTTTTCTGTGTTCAACTGCAGCTTACATAGCATGGTTTTAATAGGAACATGTAATCTACCTCTTGTAGCCTCACTCAAGCTGAAAGCAATGCTGGAAAGAAGTGGCTTGCTGTGCAACTTCTGTCAAGTGGTGCTGCTAGAAACAAGGGTTCATCTTTAAAACCAGAAATATAGGGAAAGTGAGCACCTTTGCTGGGTATCCTGCCTTGTTTCCAAACACTTGGTCTGCAAGTAAAACAAGGAAAGACTTTATAATTGGCTGAGGAAAACACAGTAACATAAGTAAGTGAAATATCCACACCCATCATATCTCTGGCAATTGTTCTTTAGTTCACTTCCCTACCAAGTGGTGTGCCAAAGTCCAAGAGGCTAACATCCCTCTGACTCTTAGTCTTCTCCCTTTTCCCTCTGCAACCCTATTAATGGTTAATCTATGGTGATGATGAACTTGGATGATATGTCTCCAACCCCTATAGGAAGTGTGATCTGAACTGATCCACCCACATTGCCAACAGCAATTTATTTTTATTGCTGTCATCAGAGTTCCCCACCCCCAGCTTCAATCACAATTTCCACAAGTTCAGTGGAAAGCAACCAGGAAATGCCTTACTCTCACAGTAAAACTGCCTGTGTGCCACAGCTTTGGAGAGGGCTCCTACCATGGAGGCACTGCAGTGACTTTAGTAGACAAGGACCAGCAGCACCCCAGGTACTCCCACAGGGCTCCCGTCGTACTAAGGGTGTATCCCAGCACAGGAAGGAAATCCTTTCCATGTCCCTGTCCTCTCAGTTTAATCTTATCTTCTACCCATTACAAGCTTACTTATAGTTGTAGTAGTTTCTAATATTTCTGGGACGGTTTTTGTGTAAAAAGCCCTTAGAATTACATTCTCTGCACATTTTTTCATTCACCAAGAGTAGGCAGGAGTGTTTTTTCCTTTGAAAGGCTGTTGTTGAAGCTGGTGGATCCCCTTCCCAGGCTCATTGACAGAAAGGCGGCTTTTCCCAGACCCACATCCAGTCTGCTCTGCCTTTTCACATGTACAGGGTAGGAATCACTGTCCTCTCTAGCTTCATACCAGTGAGTTTATACACACCTGAGTGAATCCGAGCAAACATATGGGACTTTAATTGTGTTGTGCATTTCATCTTCATGATGAAATGTAAGACTGTTGATGTTTTATATCAGCTGATAAAAAAGCCAGTTTAAAAAGAAAAAAGTGTTATACAGATGCTTGTTATGCCAAAACCCAGCTGAGGGTCTTCTGTTGGTTAATGCACTGAGGAAGCGGATGCCTAAGCCGTTTCCTTCCCTGGAGCTCCAGCAGCCACAGGACTTGGTGGGCTCCTGGAGAACACTCGAACTCCACCAATGGCTGGTGACCTTCAGGGGCTGTACTGTGTTCCCTCCCCCTCCCTGACTGTTGAGGAAGGACGAACTGAAGTTACGGGCTGACTTACAGATGACATTCAATGCCCTGCGGTAGCCTGAGCACCACAGCACATGCCTTACACCTTTGGCAAAGAAAAGAGTGGCCACCACACGCTGCTGGGCCGCTGCCATGTTCCACCCTGGAGTTGGGCCCACTCCTTGATGCCTGGAAAAAGATCAATGCACAGTCCTCTGATTTGCTTCTGCCGTTGAGTCTATACTGCTTTAAAATAAAACACGTTGATCAACAAGAAAATCCTTCAGCTCTCTGAATTGATGTGGGTTTGAAACGTCTGCGAAACGAGCTTGTTTTCCGGGCCCGTGCTGGGGTGGCACAGCAGGCTCCTCGGGGAGGGGAGGCACTTTTCAAGTGAGGACAGAACCGCCACGAACCGACTCATTTTCGGTCACGTTTTTAGCCCTCGAAGTGCGAGGCGGCCGGGGTCCCTGCTCGCTCTGAAGCTCGGCAGATACCCTCGGACACGGATGGCCAACACCCTTGGAACAGCAGGCAGGCGCCGCTCCCGCTGCCCGCCGGCCTAACGAGGCTGGTGGGATCTTTACTCAAAGGCCTAATTGCCGGGGAGGCGGCTGAGAGGAACCGGGCCGGGGAACGGCGGCGGCTGCCCCCTCGGCTCGGGGGAGACACCCGGAGGGATCCCCGGACGGGCGGGTGGGTCCGCCCGGGATAGCCCAGCGCGGGCGGCCCGCGGCCTCCCCTCTCCCGCCCTCTCTCCCTCCCGTATCCCTGGGTCCGCCCGTATCCCTGCATTCCCTGCTGCAGCAGCATCCCCTCCTCCCCTCAATCCCATCAGTAGCGGCGGCCCCGGGTTCGGCTCCCCGCGCTGCGGCGGCGCTCGGCGGCGGCTCCCCCCGCCGCTGCCGCCATGTTGGGCTGCTGCGCGCTCGGCGGCGGCGGCGGCGCCTGCCGCGTGTGACCGCGGGAGGGAAGGGAGGGAGGGAGGGAAGGAAGGAGGGAGCGGCGGGGGAGAGGAGGGCGCGGAAGCGGAGGGAGGGAGGGAGCGAGCCGGGGAGGGAGGGCGCCGCCGCTACCCCTCCCCGCCGCCCCGCCGCCCCGCGCACGCACACACACACACGCACCCCGGACACGCACCGCCCGAGGATGCCCTTTGCCCGGGGGGGCGAAGCCGGGAGGGCATCGCGCCGCCGGGAGTGAAGCCACCGCCGCCGTCGTCGGGGCCTCCCGGCCCGCAGCGTGCGGCCGGAGCGGGGACGCCGGCGCTTCCCCTCCGCCCCAGGACGCGCACCCGGAGGAGGAGGAGGAGAAGGAGGGCGCCGTCTCCGCAGCAGCAGTAGCAGCAGCCGCCGCCGCAGCCATGGGAAGGATTTGACAGGGCTCGGAGCGCTTTTGCCGGTGTGTCGGGGCGCGCGTCCCGCCCGCCGCCCCTTGGCGCAGCGGAGGAGAAGGGGGCGACGATGAAGACTTTAGTTTTTTTGAATCACTGAAAAGCCTTAAAAGGAGACTCGGTAAGGAGGAGGAGGAGGAAGGGAAAGGCTGCCTGGGGCAGGACGTGGCTGCGCCCTGAGGAGGGGGGGCTGCGCCCCACCCCGCGGTGGCCGCGGAGGCGCTGCTGGGGCCGGGGGAGGCGGCGGGGTCGACGGGGCTGCGCGGCCCCCTCATCCCTCCCTCCCCGCCGGTGTGCGCCCTCGTTTCTTCGTCCTTTCGCTTATATAAACACGTAAATACGCCTGTTTTTCCCTTCCCATCCGTTCTGGGAAGCGGATCCGGAGGGGCTGTTATCCCGTGGTGCTGCGGCGGGGCTCCTCTCAGGATTGCGCTGCATGATCTGCATCGGGAATGAAGGAGAAGACCTTCTTAAATATATAAGTGCGTGTGCCTGGGCACGCACAGTGAAATCGGTGTCAGTCAGTCTCGGCTGAATTTGAGTGCAATTATTATTATTAAAGCACCAGGAGTGGCCATATATTCTCCCCCCCTCCCCCCTTCTTATTAAGCCTATTACATTTTTTTAAGTATAACTATTTTCTTCGCTTAAAAATCATATGTACACAGATATACACACTACATGTGTGTGCCTGAAACTCCAAGGGTTTAGTTTCAGGCTGGGAACACCGAGGTAGGCTGGAAATTAAGCACTGCCACGGTTTGACGCTTGTTAAAAATACTGTTGACTTCTTTTTAAACAACAAAACCCTCAAAAGTTGTTTTTTTTGTTGTTGTTTTTCTGACAAAGTAATAATAATCATTAAAAAAGAAACCCCAATGCAAACTGAAACAACCATGTCTGGAGAAGTGCGTTTGAAGCAGTTGGAGCAGTTTATTTTGGATGGGCCAACACAGACTAATGGGCAATGCTTCAGTGTGGAAACCTTGCTGGATATACTCATCTGCCTTTATGATGAATGTAATAATTCCCCTCTGAGAAGAGAGAAGAACATCCTTGAGTATCTGGAGTGGGGTAAGTTTGAATGTGTTTATTTTGTGTACATCCGTCCATGTTCCTGTCTGCTTTGTATAATGTCTCTGTTATTTATGTGTGAGAGGGATTGTTTATAACACAGTGTTTTACCGGGAAGTGTTATCAGTTTTACTGGATTTAAACGTGGTGGTGGTGCTAAAAAGAAATCCATATTGGTTATTTGTCTTCAAGGCGTGTATGTAAAACATACTTCATATTTTTTCTTTTTTTTGACTTGGATCAGACTCTGGTACTTGAGGCATATTTGTTTGCCTTCAGGCCCAGCTGTTGAGTTTTGTTTCCTAAAGTTGCTGGGAATATAGAATGGTAAGGGTTAAATTCGCTGATGCCTGGTAAAAGATCAGTGCATAATCCTCTGATTTGCTTCTGCCGTGGAGTCTATACTTCTTTAAAATAAAACATGTTGATCAACAAGAAAATCCATCACCTCTCTTAAATGATGTGGGTTTGAAATGCCTGTGAAAATGGAGGAGATCACATTCTCTTCTTAAACAAAATCATTGCTGACTTAAGTAGACTGATTTTCCTGATGAAGAAAACAGTTGAAAATCAGAATGAAACTGTATGTGTCCCCCCCTTTCCATTTTCTTTCTTCGTTTTGTGGGAGATAGACTATTTGCAGATCTTTAAAGGAAAGCAGGTGAATGATAGCATGCCAGTTCTTCTTAAGTTGTCACAGAACTGGTTGATTCAATTTTTTTCTTTTGAATTCTCTTTCTTCCTCCTTCTAAACTCAGATGTAAACCAGAAGATGCAGTCTGACATAAGAACCTTGATGAGAATGGTTGCTGTATCTGACCTTCAAACTTCAAAGTCATGCTGCACTTCTGCATTTGCATGCAGAACCATTTACCACATTTGCCTTGTAATAAATACATCAGCAGGCCTCCTTTATTAAAAAGCACATTTTTGAAACACCTAACAGGCATTTGATTAATTAGCTGGTTGAGCTCTTCAAAATTAAGTTGCTGAGGAAAGACATTGTTTTGATAACTGATCTAACAACTTGAGGCTGATATGTGTGTGTTTTATTTTCTTGCTCCTCACTGTAGTCATACTGACATCTAAAGGACATCTGACTCAGTAATTAAGTTTCTTGTAGTGTTCATATTGCACTGTTTTTTGTTTTCTTATTATCTGGAGAAACAGGCTATAATTAATGCATTCTAGCTAAGGAGGAAATAGTAATTAAAAGTACTTCTGAAGAATCTTTCCTCTCAAGCTGTGACTGGCATACAGAGGCTATGAAAGACTGGGAAAATATGATGGCTCCAAGGGTATTTTCTGTGCAGTAACGTAGTGTAGTCTGCAGTGGATCTAACCAGCTGATATCCTGTAAATCATAATAGTCAAGTTAACCATACCTAGATGGTCAGAGTAACAGTGTGTTTGAGACCCGTTGTATTGGATGCTTGGTGGTTGCTTGCATCATTACAAGGCTCTGACAGTACCTGAAGATTTCTGCAATAAACTTTCCAGGCTGCTGATGGAAATAATACACTGTTTTGGAAAGGCTGGAATAAGGTTTCTTCCTGCCCTATTTTTCCTGCTATTTTTCCACTCTCATGCTCCAGCTGTGTCTTAGCAGGACTCTTGAGCTTCAGAGAAGACCAGTTCCTCCCATTTCCAGGGCTGAGTTGCCTCTGTCTGCTCCCAGCTCTGCTGTCCAGACTTCTACCCTGGGATTTTTTTCAAGAGGGTTTCTGAGGTGAAACATAAGAACCAGCGGTCTCTGGTACCTGCCGTTTGCAGTGTCTGCGTGTATGATCTCTTTATCCTGCAAACACTCACCTGAGTTGTCTCCTCGGAGAGCCAGCCCTCCTGGTGAAACTAGCGGTCTCTGGCATTTCTGTTGGCATCAGGGGCTTGGCAAAATCAAGCTCTTAGAGAGGTTATGTACCCTTCAGTGCTGTGGTGCAGTGAAGTTGCTAAGGCTACCCTGCGCTTTGATATAATTGTGACCTCTCACATCTCTCTCCCCAAAAGGGGAAACAATGCAAGTGGTTGATTAGAAAGAGGTTATATGTGGTTTTAAGGTTGGAGATGTGCTGAGTAGTGGCAGAAGTGGAAGGCTGGCAGCCAGAAATCCTGGACTCTGCCCCCACCTCCCTGAATGACTCAATGGTGAAGTGCTTTCAGCTCAGTTTTTTTCAGCTTCTCTATTTGAACAGTAGGAGAAGTAGCACCAATTTTACACCGGGGAGTTCTGAAAGCTGCTGTATGGGAAGCGCTCGTGGTTTTGAATGTACCATATGAAATAGTGTGTATTAATTTATTTTTCCCATCAGTGAAATGAAACTTTATGCCTGATGTTTCTGCTGGTGGATGTCCGTTGGTTACTGTCTTGGAAATGCATTTTTTTGGTTTCTGCCAAGCATCTACAGATCTGCTCTATTACTATTAGGAGTGCAATCTGAATGCATCAAAACTGGTCATGGAATAGTATGAACTTATGTGTTTACAAGGTGCAAAGTACAGATTTACTCCTGAGAACTGATCATCATCTTAAGCTACATTTCTGGTTTTGTTTTGGTTTTGTTTTTTTTTAATTATTCCTTATAGAAATAAATAAGATTTATTGATATAGTTTTATTGTTTTTAAGAAAAGGCTAACAAATAGCTGTTCGGTGATCACAGACTCCTGTTGAGCAGCAAATCATTTTTTCTTGCTTTTCAGTGGTGCACTTATAAAGGTACTACTGTGTGGTTTTGGGGGTGGGGTTCTGTTCGTGGATGTGTATTTTTATATAAGTTGTTGAGAAGTTACATGCTGCATTTCACGTAAGACTGAAGCACAATCTAATTTTTGGGGGGAAAAGGTTTAGGAGGTATTCCAGAAGCTAATGTCTTAATGACAGCCATGTGACTGCAGCTATATTTAGGGCAACTAAGAAGCTTCATGTTCTAGTACTTAGATCTTTTAGGACTATTTTATGAGCTTGTTATCTAGAACTATAACATATTAAAAAAAATGAACCAGGGTGAAACAGTTGAGATCTGAACTGGTTGTTCACCTTTTGTTTTGGTCTGATGTTACAGGTTTAATTCAACAAGTGGAGAAAGTAAGGTCTCTACAATGTGAAGTTGAACTTTAAATTTTTGTAGGATTTAAGTCTTTTTTGGTGCTTGAAATTACATTAGACTAGAAGTGTCAGGTTAATTATTTTGTGATTCAGAATCTGCTTTGCTTCTAAAATCCTTTTTTTGTCTTTATTCCCTATTTTTATATGGTATTAGTTTTGTGACATATGAATAAGATCTTTAGATTTTGTCGTTTATTTTACATAGGTATCTTGTATGCTAAGACAAGGATGGAAACAGCCATTGTATTTGAGTTCTGAGGGTTAAATTGGGGCACATTTTGAGATAACAGGGAGGAAATGGAACATTTAAAATTGGCTTGTTCTATGTATTTGATCTCAGTTTTCGTTTTTATTGGTATTGATAGTTGTATTTACAATTTAGAAAAGGGCTTGTCTAATTATAGCAACTGGAGCTTACCAGAAAAAGCTCTTGAGAATTCCAAGCCCTTTGCTTTTTCTCTTCTCTGTGAGTATGAGTTGCCACACTGACGCAAGACTGTAAGGGAGGTGGTGAAGGCTGGTAATGTGAACTTGAAATTAAAACATTCTGATAAAAAGAAACGTTTGGAGGTGGTCTTGTTCTGTGAAAAATTCCTTTACAATGGCTCCAGTTTGAATTGGTTTTAAGAAGAAACTAGAACAATGTTATTTAGGATACATTGAAAGAATACTAGGATAAACTTCAAAATGTGTGTAGATTGAAGGGAGGGAAGATGTAGAGCACCACTAATAGCATGGTGAGGTCAGTGACTTGATGGAACCTGTGGTCTTCTAGGAAAAATCTGGAAGATGGGTTAAACTGTTCTGATTTCCTCTCCAGTAGAACTCAAAAGTTGTGGTGTTCATGCAGGGCTGTTATGGTCATAGGCTAGACTGTCATCATTGCTCTCAGGCTTCTGTTATTCAGATGTGCAGCATCTCATCTGGATGTTGAAAATGGTTCTATAACCGTGCAACTGATATTTTTCAAGACAAAGTTGTGAGGAGGTTATCTGTCTGTGTTTTCTTTCTGATGATCTCTCTCATGTTTTTTTTTCTTAAGAAAAAATGGTATGCCCATTTTTGAGCTAGGTTTGTTTTTAAATATCAGTAATAAAAGAAAACAAAATCTTGTCTCCAGATCCTGTACTTGTTCTGTGTTATTCGTCTCTGTAGGTCCTGAACAAATCACAGGCATTTTTAGCTATGAATTGCTTATATTTTGTTTTTCAAATAGACTGTTAAAAAACAATTTGTCATTTAGGTCGTATTCTTAGCAGACAGTAATAAGCGACTTACCACTCCGCTTCTTTAAGTTTTGTTGTGTTTTTTAAAGTAGATGTTTGTGCTTAGTACTTTCCAACCTTGGTGGTATCTGACCCTGGTAGTATCTAACCTATTAGAAATACTTTTTAAATTACATTTTAGGTATTAACTTTTTTATTCTGGTCATAAAAATGGGAATACCTCTTGGTCTGATATAAGCAAAACAGTTACTCAGTTCTTTCTGGGAAAGAACGAGCATCTTGCTTGTCAAGGCCACTTAATGTGCTTAAGTATATGCCTGATTTTAAATATGAGTTGTTTCATTGCCTGCAGCTGAACTGTATGAAATGATGGAGGTCCATCAATGTAGAAGACATTGTGGCATTCTTGACACACAGATTTCTGACTTTGTCTATGATAACACTATACTGCTTATTTTATGGAATGTGTTGTTTCAGATTGTTCAGCTGCAGCCAACAATTAAATGCTTTGTATTGATTAGGGTGGGAGAAGGAGGTTCTTCAGTGTTCTCAAATAGAAACGACCTTCACATCTCTGTGTTTCAGAATATTGTGTACACAGCTTTTAGAGAGATGTAGTTTTACACCAAATTACTTGACAAAGAAGAAAAAAGTAGTTGCAGGAAAACAC